GAGGTGGAGTGAATGGAGGAGGCGGAGGGCAGGAAGAAGAGAAGGAGGAAAAAGAATGAACGAGGGGAAAAGAAAGAGGAGATAGAGGACGTGGAAAAGGAGGAAGGGAGGGGGAGGAGGGGGGGTGAAAAGGAGGAAGAGGAGGGGGTGAAGAAGAGGAAGAGGACGAGAATGAGGGAGAAGGGGAAGATCTCGTGGAGGAGGACTAGGAGAATAAGGAGAAAGATAGAAGCAGAAGGGAGTAATAGGGGAAGGAGGAAGAGGGGAAGGAGAAGGAAGAGAGGAAGAGCCAAATGGGAGGAAGTAATGCCCACGAAAATATTACGAAAACAAAAAGCATTAAGTATGATGGAGTCTGCACTAAAACGAGAGATGTGCCCCGTAGCAGGAATCGACTGCTTGTCCAAAGTTTGTTATATTTCTTTCTATTTTCTCTCCCAGAACCGGTGAAAGTGAGCCTCCACAGCGAGCTGTAAGTTACTCTTTGCATGTCCATAGACTTATTACTATAATAATATCATAAATCGCACACTGTCATGGCCGCCTCTTTAGGCTCCCTACAAAAACCTCGGCGCTGCGAAGCATGCTCTGAATAGGCCGCGTCTGTTCAGCCAAACAAATTGCAATTTGTGTTGGACACGTTCTGAGATCAACGTAACTTTCATAGACCCAGTTCTGGGCAAAAATAAATGTAAGACAAACTTTACTTCTTGAGCTACTTACGTGTACCTTTCTTTGCGACTGACACAAGAATAAAGAATAAAAATTATAGTGCAGTATTTTTTCCTATACACATTTGGGAGCCCATCAAAACATAAATTTTGCTGTAGATGAGTGTGTGAAGCAACCCCCCTCCCCCCCCCAAACCCCCACCCCCTTCCGCCCCGCCCTGCAGTGATTCTCGATAAACGTCAGAGTATGCGGTCTAGGAATTCTAGTACTCGTCTTTGGTGTAAAATTAAATGGGTTAGAAAACATGTGTGTATTCCTGGACAAAGGTCACAGTTGTCGGAAATTTTGGATATTTGGAAATAAGGGCACATTCTTGTAGCAGAGTCAGTGCTCAACATGCTGATATATTTTTTTATTTTTCAAATATCTTGAGTAGTTTTAAAGACGTGCCACATATTGTTACACAGGGTATAAAAACAAAGTTTGGAGAAAAACCAATTTCTAGCTCATTTTTAACCTTTGCTGAAGCACAGCATGTTGCAAAAATATCTCATAAAAGTATTTAGACTTAGAATATTATGAAGACCTTTTCAATATGGTATTCACTGGTTGAACGTGG